AGGTTAACAAAACGGGCTTAAATTTGAATCTATTTAAGCATCTGAATTGAGTTGATCTTGCTTGTTCAAAACCAGCTTATGTGGGTTTTGTTGGTCAATTGCAGGGTCATAGTCCAATTTTAGTCTAATAAATTCAAATTTAGTTGTATGGGCTTTAAAGCCCAAAATGCAATGGGGTAAGTACAAAATGCAACAATAAAAATGTCATTGAAATTAAATAAGTAAATTTTAGCAAACAGTTATGTCATTTATTACTAAAATATTACTTTTAATTTTAATGATCAAGTTTCAATTTATGGTCTTAAATATACAAAAAAATTCAATAAATTTTATAGAATTTAAACACAAATTATTATTGATCCTATTGATTGAAATAATGTTTTGAAATGAAAAAATTAAGAGAAATGGAAGTTTTGGAGTTGTGATGTCCTTAAATGAAAAGGTTGTAGGATCCATTTAGATAGATAGTAAAATTAGTTTTAATGTGATTAAAAATAGCAGTAGAAGTGAGATTAAATAAGAAATATGTATTTAAATTTGAAAGTAACAATAATGGTGAAAAAAATTATAATGAAAAAAAATGACCGTTAAGTGTTTTAGGTTAAAATTTGTATATAATAAAAATTTTAAATTATTTAATTTTATAAAATTAATAAATAATTAAAAAGTTATTAAATTATTTTTATGACACATAATAAATTTGTTAATAAATAATTAAAAATTAATAAAAATAATTATATATCAAATAATCTTTTTATTATATTAAATTTAAAATATTATTTCAAAAATTTTAAATTAAAAAATCAAAAATCAAAAATAAAAAGAAAAGAATTAAACTTTAGTGCATTTTGTACTTATTATAAGAATTAAAAGGTAAAAAAAAAAATGAATCTACAATGTGATTGGAAAATCTCTCATTACAATCACACCCACGTTTAAATCCAAAGGCAACCATGGATTCATGGTAGATGAGTTTGCGGAGCGATTCGTATATAACACATCTTTATTATGGCATTTAATTTGTGGAGCGATTCGTATATAGCATCGAGTAAATATTTTTTAGATAATAATGTGATTAAATCGTTCCCATTTAACTAAAAATGAAAAAAAAACGTGCAATAGTCTCCATGGTGCGTCAGATCTGAGCTGCAATATTATCCAAAACAAACCACATCCATAAACAAAATCAACAAAAACAAAAACGCAGTAGGAAATGGCAAAATGGGTGGCTGATTTTAATATATGCTGTCACTGTCCTTTTGTCATCTCCCATTAACTGCACGTTAATAATCTGACATACTAAATAGAAGTCAAACGCCTAATATCCATGTAGGGACTCCATGATCAATCCATTGGTAACTATTGAAAGATTGCAACATCCTTTTATTCAAAGATTATCTAATAATTAAGCAGCCTAGAGATTATCTAATAATTAAGCAGATACACAGCATCAGAAGTAAAACTAGATTTTGCTAAAGCATGAGCTGCCTCATTCCTTTTTCTCATGGTTTGCATGGTTTGCATGCATAATAAACATGTTTAGGGTGTAACTAGTAATTGAGAAAAGAGGAAAGCAAATGCTCTCTTTTTTATTCAAATCTTAAGTACCGTAATTGCAACTGTTTATGTTTGGAGAGCCATCATCCCTTCTCTGTTTGACCAGTTTCCATTAAAATTTAGAACAAAGTTTCTTGGTGTCCCATATTCACTGAATATTTTAATTAATAATTTAAAGCTCAAATCAACTTGGCAAATGGCAGAGAGGGTTGTTCTCAAAGTTTTTGGAGTGAATTGCATAAATATATTCTTTTTGAATTTATATGTGATGCATCGTTAATATATAAATATTATATATTATTAATAAATCATATAATGATTTCTCATATAAATATAAAATTTAAATATATTTTAAAAATTAAATGTATTTATTTTTAAAATTTAAAAAAAATTTATAAGATATTATTATATAATTTATTAATAATGTATAATATATACATTGATAGTACATTAAATATAAAATTTTTTTTATATAAAAGGTTTTATGTAGTAATTGGTTACAACAATTACACTTTGCAGCAAGAATGTATAATACTACTATTGTAATGTTTACAATTACTACAATTACATTTAGTATTGTAAATGTTTTTTTTTTTATAACACTAATATTACAATATCTTTTATCTTAATAATAATTTATAGAACATTTTTTGTAATATAAAAAATCTTATGTTATAATATATGTTGCACATATTCTTTTGTAATAAAAGTATACATAGAAATTAATATTGTAAATACTTAAAAACTGCAATTCTTGAGGTGAGTGCTTTTAAATTTTATGATTATTATTATTATTATTTTGCAACAAAAACATGCTCAAAAGCAACTAGTAATAAATTAATCTAGATCATTACCACACCAATTATGTCAATGAAGAGCCTAAACCGCCCTTTCACCCTTGTTTCTTGAATGACTTTTTTCTTCTAAAGATTTTAAATGTATATCATAAATTATATTATTATATAATAGAAGGTAAAGTTCAAAAGAAGGCCCTATCTTTTGAAAATAAGCATATCGATAGAGAAAAGATGAGTACTTGCTGATAAATCATAGTCCAATCCTTAATTATTAAATTTGGGAAACTTTTCTTCTCAAAACAGAAGCCCCTTGATCTAAGGCGTGGAGTATATTTTCTCAAAGGCCCTATATGAATTTCCACAAATAATGCCATTTGTTCACAAAAATATTGTTAGACTCCATCCGAGAACCTGATTTTTTCATTTGAAGAAAAAAAAACACCTTTCAATCTTTGATTATTAAACATGGGATCCTTTTCCCTCAACGCACTTTGCAATTGAAATTTTCTGGTCAATGGATTGGCGGCATTAACTCAAAAGGAGAGAACCATTGATGTCCTTATCTCTCCGCAATCAAAGGAGTTCCTTAGCTTCAAGTTCACGGAAGAGAGACTAGTAAAACAGAACACCAATCAAATTGAGATCATGTACAAATTAAGTTCCGAGAGGTGTTTAACCTATGTGCTTCCCAAATCAATCCTGGTTTTCCGTTTCTATCTTCTTCCCAAATGAAATTAAAAGGTTGGTTATTTTAAGCCAAATCATTTTAAAATGGTTTAAATGATTATATATTGATTGAAAATCTCAAGTACTTTGCTTTAATAATTTGAGTTGTGATCATTTTGTTCATACAAATTTATGCCATAAATGAGTTTCTGTCATATCCTACTGAAACTCAAGTTTGTCCTTTCAATCTTGTTAAACCTGCGGTTCAGAGGTATAGCAACATGATCTACATGCCCCTGTTTTAGGACCTGATTCGTTGAACTCGATGAAAATGTATGATGATCATCGATATCAAGACTAAAGTCAAATTTTAGATAAAGATAAAATGAAACCTATAGCCTATATCTGCCAATGTTGGCTGGTCAATTGTATCGGAATCGAGTTGAAATTTCGCCAAGAACAGATGAAAAAAGATTACGTCTTTTTTTCCCTCCTATGCTTCATGCCATAATTCCCGATAAGCTGTCTCAAAGATTAACGTCTTCCTTTCCTCCTTCCTATCCCTTCCCCGATTTTAGCCAAAATTTCATCAAAGTTGTGCTTATGTTATCTATATTTGACTTACGTTACCTGTATTTGACTTGTGTTACGTTATGTTATCATTATTTGTTAAGTTTTGAATATTTTATTATTTTATATTCAAGTAAAAAATAAGAGACGGTTCAACTTAATATAAAATCATAAAAAAGATTCAAAATTTAATCAATGTGGATAAAACCACTCAACTTAATGGTATGGAGATTACCGGGAAAAAAAACGTAATTTTCTTCTATGATTATTGTTTACCCATGAAATAATTACAGGCTCTAAACTCAGCCCAGGCTTCGGCCTAAAACTCAGCCCAGACAATGCCTGATAAACCATCCAACAACTTAAATGGGCCTAATTGTCAGTGCTGGCATGGTCCATTAACATTGCTGAAAGGCAAATTTTGGACTCAGCCTCATTGAGATAATCACATCTCAATTTCATACAATCTTTTGCACTTCTTCCTATCCAGTCCTTAATAAAACGAGAGAAGTCCTGTCCACAAGCAAATTTATTAAATTTCAGGTTAGTTTCATCGTGGATATAGTTATAATTCACCAATTAATCTCATATTCATAATTAACATCTATATATCTTCAATTTAGTATGACTGAATTGGAAAAGCTGGTTGTTTATTTTATTTTATTTTATTTCTCTTTTTTAGGGTAAATAAAAAATGCTAATATGTATGTTTGTTTGTTTTTTTTTTTTTTTTTATTTTTTTTATACATATACACAAGACAGATCAAAGCTTAAAAATAATTAGAGAAAGGAAATTTGCTAGAATAAAAAGTTCACCTTCCATGAGAGGTGAGTAAACTATTTGAATTAAGCCTTGGGTTCATTTTTAACTAAATTTGATATCAAAAGTAAGCGACCTAATAAATTTGATGAAATTATTAAAAAAATAAATCAAATCGTATTCAATAGATAAAATGAAATATATAAAAGTTTCATTTATTCTATAAATAGGGATTTATATTTTTTTTAATTAATTATTAAAACTTTTAACACGTTCAATTGAAAATAACTACTCACTCTCATAGTTTCTATAACTTTTTTTTTCTCAAATTTTAAAATTGTAGTATCTACAAATGTATGTCTTTTGGGCCGAGCAATTTGTCTTAATTTTATAATCTATGGTCATCGTCGTAAATAATTTCATGTAATAGCAGACGTGATGTTTGATGTCCTTAATCTGTTATTGATCTTTCCCATTGAAAACATTAATCTCCCTTTGAATCTTTAAAATTTGATTTGAGCTTAAGTCTAACGCCAATACGTGTTTACAGAAACTGACAATCTGAAGACTGTCAATATGCAATTCCTAATAACATACTATATAGTAAATAATATATATATAAACCTACCATTGAATCAAAGATTTCCCTTCTCATAATTCACAAACTGAACCTCAATTTGCAATCTCAAACTAAATTAAATACTATTTAAGCAGTTAAATTTGAAAGTTTAAGAAAAAAATGGCCTTCGCTTGATGAGTCGAGACCACAAGCACTGTTTATCTTCCTCGCAATAAGGCTTTCTCTGCAGTGTCCATTTCTTCAAGAATCCTAGCCTTTCTCTTTGCTGGGATTGGAGCAGTTGGTCCAAAGCTAATGTAATGACCAGAAACAGCATTCAATGCCGAGTAAATATCACGGAAAGAAACTCTACCGAGCAAAGTTTTCTCTCTTCTGTACTTAGCCACCCATGAATTTGATGTCTCTCTGAGGTCAGCCACAGCAGAAGCAGCGTTGGGATCGTTCTTGTCCATATTGATGGTGCTTCTCACTTTGCTGATCACTTCTTGTGTCTCTTTCACGTACTCCTCATCCGAGGCAGCAAATGCTGGTATCACTGGCAGAAGCCCTGCAAGAGACAGATTGGTGGTGGTGGTGGCGGCGGCGGCAAGAGACAAGAAGTGGCGTCTTAATGGTTGCTGTTGCGGTGGCGGAGACGGTAATTGCGCGGTGGAGGTGGCTTTGTTTTTTATTGGAAGGAGGGGTTTGAGTTTGGAAGTTGGGGTTAACAGCGTTGGGGAGGCCATAGTTTTTGGTAATGACGGGGAGCAAGAGAATTTGTGTTGGGCGTTTGTAATTTGGCGAATGAAGAGAATGGAATTGGGTTTGTGCCACGTTGGCTTATCACCTTATCTAAAATTTAGTTTTATGGATGAGAAAGGACCCAATGATATCTTAGATATAGATCCGCCATCTAGCAATGTCCAAGCGGCAACAGAGTTGAGATTTACAATTTCGCGAAAGCCTTTAAGTCTCGACCAAATGGAAATTTGTTTCCCCCTTTTGCTTTCGGCAACCATGGGGCTCGGAGTTGCACGATCCTGGGCCAAAACCGCAGCTCTTTCAAAATTTCTTCTTTTGTTATTATCTAGATAGCTAAAATTAAACAGGACAATTTTTACGCGCGCTATGATAATATATTATAAAAAAGAAATGAAATAATAAAAAATATATCATTTAAAATTTTAATAAAAATTTTATATAAATTTAATAAAAATAAAAAATATTTTGTGTTTTATATATTTATACAAAATTGATATGTTAATTTTTTATATCTTTTATATATTTGAAATGATATAAATATAATATAAATACATAAATTAACAAATTTGCTCAAAGCCTAAAAATCTTAAGAGCATGCTTTTGATGAGAACTTCCTACTGCTGTCTTTTCGTTTGTGCTTTAAGAAGCGGGCTTCTGAAAAAGATAATTCAATAGGGCCTAAAAGATGGCCTTGTACAGTTACACACGCACTGAACCAGCAGCAGATAGTGGCAAATTAAGAGCAAGAATTGCTGTTTTAATTGGTAACCGCGCAATTTACTTTATGGTTATTAGGGTTTATATTTGATATATCATTGATGTATAAAATTTATATGTTGTAAATAAATGGAATAATTGTATTTATTAACAAAATGAATTAGATAATGCTATTTTTTTATTAATAAATAAATTTTAAAAAAATATTAATTTTTTTATATATTTTAAAATTTGATATTTACTTATTAATTAGATGATATCATATGATTTATTAAGTATATAAAAAATTTATATACTGATAATATATTAAATATAAAATTTTATTATTATTATGAAATATAAATTTTTATTATTATCTTTGGACAGAAATTCAATGGTTTTATAGTGGTGCGGGATAATCCAATGTCTTGTTTTTCTTTTTATTTTTATGACTTTAAAACCGTAATTAATTTCTTCTGACTTCCTTTCTGAAGTTTGAAGTTTACATTTACAAACATTTTTTCGCTTAATAGAAGAGTTTGAGCTGCTGAACCTTGTCGGATTAAAAGCCTAAGTTCATAGCCCACAAATAAGATGAAATATAATATCAATGCCCCCACCTCAAACCACCTATTCTTTTCAATCACAGTTGCAAAGCTTTCAATTACCCTTCTAAGTTTCAAACAAATGGAGAGTATTTTCAAGACTTGGAGTTTGGGGTAAATCAGCTTTTCCTATAAAATATTGAATGATGGAGTCTTTTCTTCATAAAGAAGATAAGCTAAGTGCTTTTAATCATTTTCTTTTGTACTGGTTCATTAGTAAATTGCAAAATGTGGGCTTCTTTTTGACCCACGAAAGGAAAAGCAGTCAAATGTCAATGTTATTATGCTAATTTCTCCTTTAGCATGTATAGAGAGAAAAAGGTTTTAGGTGAAATTTTTTAACTGAAGTTTATGAAATATTTTTATTAAAATGATTTAATAAAGATTTAAAAAAATTAAAATTAAAAATTAAAAGGGATGAATTGATAGAATTCAATGAAAAAATTAATAATATGTCAAAAAATTTTAATATTATTTATAATTCAAAGTTGATTACTTGTTCAATGATTAAAAAATTTGTTAAAATTTTTACTAAAAATATTTATCTAAAAAGCATATCGATTTTTTTATTTTTTTAAAAATTTTCATATTGATCTATATAAAAAAACCATTTTATGTATTAATTTTTATTTTTGATTTTATGCTTATAAATATTTGAAGTCTTCATAAAGTTATATCTAAAAAAAAAGATATAAGAGAGTTATAATATTTTATTTGGTAGATAACTATAAGATTAAAGGAGATTAATAACGTCTTTATGGGTGAGTATGTTTGAATTGATTAAAGGAGAATGAAAAGTTCATATAAGTATAGTATATGGATGCACATGGTATATATTTGTTTGAGTTAAAAATACTCTATAGGACTAGAAGATAATGAGATGATTCATGTTTATTGACTATAAGTGTTTGCCTTGATGTTTGTTAGTAATTTTTTACAACTAGTGGATCTTTTTTCTTATCCGAGAACATAAACCAATTAGATTGAACCACATTAAATCACTATCTTTTGTGTGAGTAATCAATTTTTTTATTTTATTTTCGTTGGCTTGGATGTTAATTGATTGGGGCCTTTTAGCCTAAAAATTGGTATTAAAACTATCATAATGCTACTAACTAATATTAGAGCTGAAAGTTTGAGACATGAAATGAGGCAAGCATTGAGGAGTTCAATTCAAAGGAAGAATTTGAGTTCTTGTGTTGAGAGATTGATTTGTGTGAAGTGATGAAGATATACAAAAAAATATAATTACAAGACTTCCATTGCATGTAAAGTTAAGTATGTCTAGCATAAAAATTGATGATTAATGGAGTTTAAGTCAATGTAAAGATTATTGGAAATAATGACAACTTTGGTATCAACTGGTATCAAAGCTGGTATCAAATGATTGGTTGGGACCTATTAGCCTAACAACTAGTATCAAAGTTATCGTGATCTTATTAACTAAGATTTGAGTCATTATTTCCAATAATCTTCACATTAACTCAAATTCTATCAATCATCAAATTTTATGCTAGACATGTTTGGCTTTACATGTAATAAAAGTCTCGTAATCATTTTTTCTTGTTTGTCTTCATTGCTTCACACAAATCAATCTCTCAACATACGAACTTTAAGAGATTGATTTAATTTTTTATTAGTTCATAGAATTTTTTCTTGATCAAAAGTGTTTTTCTTAATATGAAAAAATTAAGCTCTTCTAGGTTTGTCTCTTCTTGTGTCTTGAACATTTAGCTTTGATACTAGTTAATAGAATCATGATAGTTTTACACTTGTTGTTAAGCTAAAGACTCCAATCAATCAAATATTCAAACCAGCGAAAGTAAAATCAAATAATCGATAAATCACATAAAAAATAGTAATATAACATGGTTCAACCTAATTAATTTATATCCACGGATGAGAAAAAAATCTATAGGTTGTAGAAAATTACAAAGAAACATCAAATTAAACACTTACAATCAATATTCATGGATCCTTTTATTTTTTTAATTCTATTAAGTATTCTCAATCCAAATAAAACATATATCTATGTGTACTCATGCATAGCTTATGTGAACTCTCTCATTCTTTTTTAATCAACTCAAAGATATACACCTATAAAACGTTATCAATATCTTTTAATACTATAGGGTATTTACAAAATAAAATCTTATAACTCTCTTATATTTTTTCCTCATACATAACTTTATGAAGACTTCACTTATTTATAAATATATTAATTTACCTATTAAAATAGATTTTGCATCAATTGTCAACTATAAACGTGCCATAATCATCCGTGTCTCATATATATAAATATATATATATATGTAAGGCAAAGGAGGTCTAAGTAAAAGATTATAAACCTTGTCCTTTTAAGTTTTCTCCATTACCTTTTGCAATCCATCTTTTTCCTCTTGAATTATAATTTTTAATATTTACTGACTTAAACAACGAAGCACGCCTCAAAAATAAAACTTTTATGTCTCTTAACCATGCTTTCCTTGCTATAGGTCCGATTCTTTCTTAGCCCACCTTCTAACTAACCATTCAGCTCTATCACCGCCCAAAATGCCTTCCACAAATTTTATAACATTAACATTAATTTACTATTCATGGGAAAATCATACAACTCTTGCTTCTTCTCTTGGATATAATATATATAAATGCATCTGAAATGTTACTGTATCACCTAAAAAAAATAAAAAAATCAGGTCAGTCTCTCACGTCGCAAAGTCTAGGTGCACATCCGAAATGTTCTTGTAGTCCTATCACTTGGGGGTTAATTTATTTTTTCCCAAATTTTAAGTGGTAAGGGAACTTTTTCAAACTAAAAGGGCTCAAAAATATATTTTAACAAACAATTTTTGGGTGGAATTTTCACAATATTTTTTTAGTACTATTACTCTGACCGGTCAATATACTATTTGCTTCATCCACAGTTCTTCCCCTCTCACATTTCGTTCTTACCAAAGGAGAAAAAAGTGTTCTTTCACTCAACTACGTTTTCTGAATACAATTTAAAAAAAAAATGGGAGAAAAGTTTTAATGTACAAGTAAGTTTAAAAACTGTAATGGTATTAAAACAAATCTTGCATATCAATTTTTATGTTTTTTTATAGTACTTCAAATGCATTTATTTAAGAAACTTTACCTACAACGTAAAATTAGTTTAACTAGTAAGAAAAAGTTTTTTTTTTTGTAAATCAAAAATCAATTTTTGTGGAGAGTATTTGAAGAGTTGGATTTTATTTATATTTCAAAAGTATTTCTAAGGTTGGGTTGCATTCCTCCACCTTTTGTAATATCAGAGGATGATATTTATATTTCTGATAATATCCAACATCAAATTTTTTTATATAAGGAAGTTATCAAGAGCTGGGAAGTTAGAAAACTCCTTTGTTTTTCTTGTGCAAATGATCGTTATCATCAACGGAACTATAACAAGAAAAGCGGGGTGTGATAATAATAATAATAGTTAGCGGTCTTATAATTTGGTGGTTAATTTGGCTTGAGAGGAATTCCATGATTATTGCTTTAGGTAGCTTCAGGATCTTGCACGGCAATTCTATTGGTTTGAATCGAGATTGTACTTAGAAGATGAATGCTTTTTATTTACTTGTTTATTTGATTGTTTGAGTGTTGAAGAATGGAGTTTTCTTGGACGTCCCTGTGGTGGTGGTGTGATTGCTATTTTGTTTGCACTCTTGTCTAGGAGAGTCAGCTGATTTTCCGCTTTGCGTGATTCTTCATCAATTATCATTCATGACTT